ACTCAAGCCCAGGACCTCTGGCGTCCAGCCCGCCAGGACATTCCTGAGCAGAGATGGCCTGCCCTGCCTCGCCAACTGAGCTAGCTGCTAAATTGATACTTTGCAAAACATGAGTGTTTCCAATTTCAGAGCGTGGCTGGGACTTTGAAGCAGCGTGAGGCCACCCCCTGATGTGGTGAGGACGGAGGTAGCTGGGCTGGGATGGAGAGGGATCTTAGAAAATGCTCCGCAGAAGCCCCAGGGCACCCACACGCTGGAAGCAGATCAGAAAGCAGCCTCCTCCCAAGGCCACAGGCAGCCCACTCCCCACTTAAAAAGGACTTGTATCAATTTCACTTTTTTTCCCCCTCTTGGTGCCTCCTTAATGAGATGATGTTAGAGTTGAAAATAAGTAGATGAGAGGCTGGGTAAATAGATACACAGATAACCAGAGCCTGGACTTCCTCTTTCCCTCCAGGACTGGAGGAGTCTGGGTTTTACACACTCTGCCTAAGGCACTGGGGAGGTGCCCACCACCCTCGTGTTCTGACACCTTCTGGACACTGCCCCGGCCCAGCACCCTCTGTCTCTCTGGGTGTTTGCAGTAACTGGGGAGACATAAAAGCATTACTCCAGCAGAGACCAAGGACAGGAAGGGGCTAGGACAAGGTCACAGCCAGCTGCTAGCAGAGGGGTGACTGGAAATCAGGTCTGTGTGAGTCCAAAGCCAGTCACTGTTACCATTGCCAGGCCCCAAGGAGCTTAGAGCAGCTCTCTCTGGAAATGGCTGCAAAGGCCCAAGGCGGAGAATTCTCATCCTGAGGGTGAGGGTGGGTGACGTGTGTGGGGAGTGCTGGAGTCTCCAGGGCTGGCCTGCAGGAGGTGCTGCCCCCCAGGACCTCTTGGTCCCAGGAAGCGTAAGGGCTACTGTGGGACCTGCCCACCAGGCCACCTTCTGACACACACCCAGTTAAGGCCACCCCGTCCCCATCTTGTCTCCTCTCAGGAGGTGGGGCTCCAATAATGTGTCATGCTGTGAGTCATTGCTTCCTTAGTATCCCAGCTGCCATTCCACAGAGCTGGGGCAGCCCCACAGGCTGATTACATCCCTGCCATGGCGCTTGCTGGGAACCCCCAGGCTCTCCCCCATCACCTGGCCACTGGCCCAGGGAGACCTGCATGGCAGCTGTGGTCCATTAAATGTGATGAAACTCACTTCATTAAAACACTACCTGCTGAGTCATTGCTTCCTTAGTATCCCAGCTGCCATTCCACAGAGCTGGGGCAGCCCCACAGGCTGATTACATCCCTGCCATGGCGCTTGCTGGGAACCCCCAGGCTCTCCCCCATCACCTGGCCACTGGCCCAGGGAGACCTGCATGGCAGCTGTGGTCCATTAAATGTGATGAAACTCACTTCATTAAAACACTACCTGCTGTCCCTGCTGGGTCCAGAGCTTCTGGAACCTCTGCCACCCAATTCCAGCCCAGGCCCTCCATGCTTCCTGGGGGATGCCTGATCCCACCCCAGGGCTGCTCCCGCTGTCTTAGATAGGCTTCCTGTCATGCT